TCCGTGATATATATGTCGAACTTAACAGATTCTTAGAGGGATGTACTCCGCGCTAGCGTCTCTTGGGGTGCGAGTGAGGTAGGTGGGGACTTCTGTTTCATTTTAAATTAATGAACTGCCGATCGATATGATGGTGATCTATGCGCAAGGATCTTCGTCGCACTAAAATGGAGAATTCCAGTAGGAATGTTTTGTTATTACACCGTTGGAAAGTGAGCTATTAAAGGAGTGAACTGCGCAGTCAGGACCTGCTGTTCAGTTATGAGAACTGTAGAATTAAGCTCCGGGATCATATATTATCGAGTAAAACTGCGAACGTGCCCACGAATCTATACGTTTTCAACTGCTAGTGGAATCGGTGTGACTTCAAGTGGATCCAGCCAATTGCATTCCACTGGGAACTACTCAAGATGATTGGTGTTTCAGCCGTCACAAGTCATCGATTGGACCGGGTCTATTAGAACCCCGTCCAGTCAGAATGATCCGACTTATCCATAGATAAAGGTATATTTGAGTGAGTTACCTAGCTATGACTAAAGTTTCGGTGGGGTTGGGTGTGGTTTGACTGTTCCGCCCCACCAGGGAACGTTATGCCCTTGACCGTTGAGCCTAAGACGACCATGAATGGACCCGGCGTTAATTGGCCTCGGCCGACAGTCGATAGGTCGGTCATCGTGCTCAGGCGTGAATGTTGGAGTGAATGGGTTCAGCCTTTGCCCTCAATAGCCCAGCGAGTAAATTCTACTAAGGCCGAAATTCTCTGAAATACCGATTATTTTGAATCAAATACGGTTGCCTACGTCTGTCTGTGCCATTGACAAGGGTACAAGGACACATTGTAAGAATTAGCAGTATTTCACCTGAATAGCAAGATCAAATTTGAACTCATTCGCTAGCAAAGAGAAATCGCATTTTTTCTTCGTAATTCCCGGGCTGACTGCAACATTCCATCCATACTGCCGTTGGCAGCAATTTCACCTTTCGCTACTCAACTTTGTAGCATAGGCTCTTATCCTTATTGTATAATTGGTCAACCGGTAGCAACTTTTCACCGCCTGGTTGTCTGTGTGATCCTTATAGCTTAATGAATGAAACAGGTGGTGATAAGAATGAGTTACAGTTACCCATGATCCAACAAACGATGATAACTCTGTTTCGGGTACTCCATGGGATATTAAGTTGTGTAGGTGAAGTATTCTACTAATGTTAGAAATTGGGCAACTTCATTCGTTCCTCAAAAGTGATTAAGTTATAGTGAAACCTAAGCTCAATTGAAATCCAATCACTCACCCAGGGTATAGGCTGAACCAGCTAATGCAAAAGTGCATGACCGCATTCGCGTATGTTTGTAGTCATCGCATTATCGATAAAACTTGTTGCGGTACACGTGTCCATACGATCGATCAAGGTCAATCATTGTCGGGTTAGTTCATTCCTGTCTATGAACTCGATCAACGCACAAAAACATGCCGTTTTTCGGGTGGGGGAAGAGGACGGACGAACAGTCAGACCCCCACCGAAACTTACATCCTCCCCCAGTAGTTCATTCAAAAAGTACTTCTATTTGTTTACGGAGAAATCAGCCATTCTGATTGGACGGGATTTAGATAAACCCGGTCCAATCGATGACGTGACAACTGAAACGTTAACCATCTCATAAAGTTCCCAATGGAATGTGGCTGTTTGGATTCACTTGAATTTCCAACGGTTTAATTTAAAATTGAAAAGGTATTGTGTGCATCAAACGATTCCCCTATGCATCAGTTTAGGGCTACGGTTCAACTTACCGAAAGCTTCGACGTCGATCGTTCCCGTTCACATTTGTCGTATCCCCGGTCGCTGCCGCAGTGGCAAGGGAAGCACCAAACGCACCGCCGGGTCCACCACAAGCCAGATAACCACGCATCTCCTCCTGTAGTCTATATTGTTGTACTTTGGCAATGCCGATCACGGCAGACAAATAGTGAAATCGGGACTCTTCAATCTTGCCCGCCTCACGAGACGCACGAACATCCTGTTCTAGTCGAACCGATTGAGACTCTTGACCGGCGGCCAACGCATCGTACGAGCTCTTTTTCTCTGTGTGAATCTGATTCAATTCCTTGAAGGAACAATTCAGTGCAAGTTAGGGTATACTATGTCTAAAATTTGGTTAGTTATCTAAAACGTGTGCCGTGGTGCCATCCCATCGTATGTAGATGGGTCAAGGGCTAGTAACCGCAACAAACGCAATTGGTTAAGATTGGTTTGTCCGAATAACCGCATCTCGTTTTGAAAATTACAGATCTATGGGGAAATGACAATACATCTTAAGCAAAAGTATGTGAAGGATCGATTAAAAAGATGAGCTAACGAGAGGCAACAACCACGAAACCACCCTAGGGGTAATTTTATTCGGATCCTACTTGTAGTGGACTAACCAAATCATGGTTTACAGTTTCAAGAAATGGGATCAAAAATAAGGATAGAGCGGGAAGAGTAATGAAACTGTAGCCCCAACAGATTGAGACCAGCAGAATTTGTGCGAAAAGTAAGTGGAAATTTGTTGTTTCACAGTAACGGCAAAACTGCAGTGATAACGCCAATGGCCCGATTAAATTCAAAGCCTTCACTCGGAAACAAAAACAGCACTTTTTGCCATTCCTTCTACTCGCCGTTTTTGTATTCTCTCAATAAAAGTCAGTAGAGAAGAGCTTCTGTGTAGCTTTTCAATAACCATGCTTAATTCTTGTCACATTTCCTGATTGTAATCTATTAAATCGATCGTCCCACTTCGCGTTCCCCGCCTGTTCAGATGTGCTTTGCAATTCGTCGCTTTTCCTTGTATTACTGCTGAAAGCTATCCTCGTAGAGTTTGTTCTGCTTCTGATTGTTGGCTACTTTGCGTATTCTTATCTTTATTGTATCATTTCTCAAACAGTTGCATCTTTCCACATACTGGTTACATCGGTGCGATCATTAGTGAATAAGACAGGAGGTGTTATGAGTGAGTTTCACTTATCCATGATTCCACAAGCGATGATAACTCTTAACTGGGTGCTCCACGGGGTATTAAGTACTTTTAATAATATTCTACCCACGGTTGTCTTAATACCGAATGTCGAATAAGAGAAAAGGTTCAATGGCACCGCGGATGCCACTGCATTATATTTCCCGCATGTGTTACCACGAAGGATCATTGTCAGCATGCATCTAATCATCTTTGTGTACATTATCCGACAGTTATAAAAATGCTTGATTTTTAATAGATTTGATAGTTAGTTCATTGTTTCAATTATACGGTTTGTGAGTGGGAGATATGTCAGAAATGTCTACCACTGTTGAAGTCAATATGCCGAGTACTTGAGAAATTTCGTAGAGTTTTGAGCACATTTACAATTACAGTAGGCTGATTTTACATTTACATTTACGTTTCTGGATAATTTCATACAGAAGTGGTGCCTCGGTAGGCAGTGTTTTTCAAGGCACGTGGCGATTGAAGGCAAATAAAGGCAGGCAGTTCGTGCACTGGTAAAATCAAACGATCATGCAAAACACGCAGGCTAGGATGGGCAGGTCGACATTTTGCATTTCGTTAGGGTGCAAATGAAGTTTACTCCACTGGTTTTATCCCTTGGTTAGTCAAAATAATCACCAAAAATTGAATTTATTCTCATCCTATGCATGATAAGCATCTTGTCAAATGTGCATTCCAATGTCAGAAATACGTAAGCAGTCGCATTTGATTCGAAGGAATCGGTTTTATTCGAGAGAAAATCGACCTCAATGGAATTTACTCATTGGTTTATTGAGGGCTTAGATTGACTCCACTCATCCAAAGAATCATGCTCACATTCACGTCTGGGTATGGTAACCGACTTATCGATCTATCTTGACATGATTCCCTTCCTTACCCGACCGACAAAGGTCAATTAACTCCGGGTTCGTTCATTCGTATCTATGACGCACACTCAATCAACGATCACGAACATAACATTCCCGGGTGATACGACTGGGTCGGTAAACCACTGTTAGCTCACCTAAGGTAGTTGTCTAAGAACCCTGATTCCTAACCAAACAAGGAGAGGCGTAGAAACCACTGAACTTCCTGGTAATGGTAGTAGCCACCGGTTCGATTGGGCATCGAGGTGTATTGGGCACCTTGGAAGTTTGACCCCGTCTGCGGAGCGCATGATCCGATTTGCTGGACAACGGTCCCCAACAGAGTGTGGTTTTTCCCATACAGCCCTGCTGCCTTGTGCGTCAGGCTTTGGCTAGCCGGAGGATCCGGTTGTGAACTCTCTAAGAAAACTCGCCTGCATTGGTCAGGGCAACCTGGCAGTATTCCGCTCACAAGCCAATCATGGAGTTTTTCTTTTTTATAAAGATTATTGTACCGCGATTTGTTTGGCACAGTCTGTACTCAGAAGTGTGAAATGCATCTATGAAATACAAGCTCAAGCGGGTGGTAGATGTTCACTGAATTGCAAAGACTTCTAACACCGTTGAGAGAAAGCCCCAGGTATCTCAAGCGGGTTCTTTGGCTGGTAAACTGCTCCTCCCTATGTTGCTTTGCTTATGTGACCTCTCCTGGATCGAGAGTGGATAGTCAAAGGAAACCAGGAGTTGCACTGTCAGCTGGCTTTGTGAAACTACGCTTTGTCTGGCCCCCACCTATTGCCCTTCCATTCATAATTTTATCTGGGGGGAGGGCAGGGGGAAGAGAACGGCCCATCTCACTCCTTCCTCGCTCATCCTCACTCGAAAAGTACTTTTGTTTGTTTACGGAGAAGTTAGTTCATTCGAACTGGACGGGGTCTAGACAGGCCCGGTCCAGTCGGTGACATTTGACGGCCGAAACACCAATCATCTTGTAGGATTTCCAATGGAGTGCTATTGTTTGGATTCGCTTGAAGTTGAAAAGGTATAGTTTATGTATCTCGCCCACTGGAAGTATCCGCCTGTTATCAAACCCTTTCAAAGCAATACAAACGAACTGCACTCCGTGATATCTCACGCCCCATTGCAAGGATCAAATCTTTGGATCGGGCAACTGAGAGGCAGCCCTCGGATTTGAGAATTTCAACGTGCAACATCGCGGTTCTACATATCCCCTATTGAAAGGATAATTATCATCCACAGTGAACATGTTTTCTCAGACGTTTCAGTTGATAACCTGTACTAAAAAGAAGAAACGTTTCTCTGTGAAATCGAGTGACTAAATTACCCAAAGTTTCAACGCGTTATCGTATCTTTATCAGAAGCTGTAATGTACTTTTACACAACGCCAAATACGTATTTTCAGAAGTCATATGGTGGAGAGTATTAGACGTAGTTAGCTGAGTCAAGATAGTGAACGATCGTTATCCACTCGTGAGAACAGTCAGCATGGAGAAAAGGAGGTAGGGGAGGGCAAAAACTAACCTGAAATTTCTGACGCAATGGTCTCAGTTCGCGAAGTATGGGCGCCAATTGTGTCCGCTTCGCATTGATTCTCGTTGTCAGCTGTTGGACAATCTTGGACATTTCGTCCAAAGTGGCCCTTTTTTGTTGATTGATTGCGGACATTTGTTCGGAAACCTGGGAGAGTGGATGGGAAATCAGGTCGATTTGTGTCAATAAAAGGCGGTGGAATTAAAGCTTATGCTGATTCATGATCAAACCGGATTTATCAGACTGAACGAATTGATCGATTTATTTGCTTTGAGACGTTATGTATTAAACCGGTAGACAAATGCAAACAAAACAACACAAAGTACTTCTAGTCCTAAGAGGTTTCTCGTTTTTTTATATATGCAATTTTATGAGAAAAAAATGGAGCTGGGGAAAGTGGTGTGCAGAAAAACGGTGTGGTGGGAATACCTGATCTACGGAGCGAGTTGATACTCGTCAACACCCCTCTATAAGGTATACAGTCGGCATAAACTCCCTTCGTGTTGGTGGGCGAGGGGATGTGGTGTTTACTGAGAAGAGCTTTAACTGGAACAAGTGCCAAGTTCACACGAAAGCAAAGCCCAAAGGGAAAATGGTCGAATAGACTCGGATAATGTCTATAGAGATGCCGAAATGGTATGCAAGCGACGGCGTATGTGTGTGTATGGTCTGTCATGAAACTGGGATTGATGCATTTGTTGTACTTTATCAAACACCTTCATTGGTTCATTACTTATGTGACACTGTCTGCCACTCCTTGAAATACTTCCCGAATCTGCAACAATCAAACCTAAAATGGCGCATGAATTGATTGTTGGCAGAAAGGTGACCTCTATGCACCAACGACTACTCTGTTCTTGGAACTTCAGAAAAATCAATCTTTATACACTTGCTGAAAAATATCAAAGTGCTTGCATCACCTTTTCCAGGGTCGATTGAGTTTCCCAATACCCACTGATTCCTTGGGCGGCTTCAGTAGATGCCAGTCCGTTTTTGGCTTCTGTTTCTTCGGCTCGAAGTCGTTCGATTGTCCGTGTGAGAATACCACGCTCGGCGCGCAATTCGCTTAGCTGGGCACGTTTCTGTTTGTACACGGTATTCTTGCTGCGCAATTTGGCCACGTAACGTTGAAACTGAATTGGGAGCACGGAAGCAAAAGAAAAACAGAGAGATGTGAAAATTATTATCAAATCGAGACGCTGGTGCCACCAAGAATAAGTTCAAATTCACAACGGTGCTTACATAACAGTTTGTAGATTTATAAGGAGTGAATTAAATCTGAATGTCTCGCATTCTTAATGCT